TCCCGGAAGGAGAGAAGATGAACTAATTGAAAAGCTTGTGTTTCTGATTCCTAATAGGCAAGAGTGCTCTGACAAAGCCCAAGCTTCTCAATTAAACCTCCCTTCTCTAGGCAAAGGGGTAGAAACCAATATGCTCAATGTATCGTGGAACCTGTTGTCCCTGATTAACTTAATTCCATAAAGAAAGAGACAACTCTCAAGGTGCCTGGGTGGCTCAGTCAAGCGTCTGCCTTTGGCACAGGTCATAATCCCAGGGTCCTGGGATCAAGCCCAACATCGGGCTTGCTGTTCAGCAGAGAGAGCCTGCTTCTCCCTCTCCCTCTGCTTGCCTCTCTGCCTACTTGTGCTCTCTCGCTATCTCTCTGTCAAATAAATAAATAAAATCTTAAAAAAAAGAGAAAACTCTCAAAGGTACATAGTGAGATCAGTTGTCTATAAAAACAAACTACAGTTGTAGAACATCTATTTACCTTATGCTGTCAGAAAAAAAAAAGACAGAGAATACCAGTCTCCCTCATCACCAACATACTATGTCTCTCACCTTGCCACCCACCATGGCTGGCCTATAGTCCGAGTCACTTTGTGTTTATGAGAGATAGTATATGTTGGCCTATAAAGCAAGTCTAAGAAAGTCTCTCTCCTCCCATGCTCATGGATGGAGAGCACTGATATGGATTACTCAATTTAAAGACCATTCTATCTGCTTCCATACAAGAAAATGGGATTTTCCACTATACTATAAGAGAGGGTTAACAGTCAAGCACACACAACCTATTTTCTGTCCTTTCTTTGTACCTCTTCCTGTGGAGAGCTTGTGAGTAAGGTCAGCTTTAGAAGCTCAAGTCCTGGCCTGAAAAACATTTGGAGGGAAAGACTATAGAAATTGGAGAAACTACTTAGTATCTGCTCTCTTAAAAATCTACTTTTGGCAGTTTCCAGCTTTTTTTTTTTTTTTTTTTAATTCTGGGCTCACTCTAAACCAAGCAAAAAGTTCAGCCTAACTGTATAAAATTTTTCATTGGATTGGGGTTGGGGAGGGGCAAATCCTAATAGAAAAGGGGGAATTTATTTGCAGGTCACTGCTCTTTATGTAGGTGTTTTTTTCTGAGGACTTTATGGAGAAATGTGATTGGTTAAGATAGTTCCTATATTCTTGGTTCTCCTTACCGATTAACATTATCTGACTCTATTATCAATAGTTTGTTCAGAAGAAATACTTCCTTCTTTTATTTCTTGATCTGAGTCTTTCAAAATTGCATTTCCTTTTTTTTTTTTTTTAAGATTTTATTTATTTATTTGACTGAAAGAGACACAGCTAGAGAGGGAACACAAGCAGGGGGAGTGGGAGAGGGAAAAGCAGGCTTCCCGTGGAGCAGGGAGCCCGATGCGGGGCTCGATCCCAGGACCCTGGGATCATGACCTGAGCCGAAGGCAGATGCTTAATGACTGAGCCACTCAGGCACCCCTCAAAATTGCATTTTCTTTATGTCTCAGACAAAAGTGCTGAAAGGAAGGAAATGAGCATAATAGACTTATGTTGAAAGTGTCATTTCAGATCTGGGAATAAATACTTTCCAACTGATGCATCATGCACACTCTCAATTCCTCTAAAATTGAGATCACCACCTTCTTCCTGATTGGAATCCCAGGACTGGAGCATGTTCATGTTTGGATCTCTGTCCCCATCTGCCTCATGTACCTGGTGGCCATCCTTGGCAATTGCACCATCCTCTTTGTGATCAGGACAGAGCCCTCACTCCATGCCCCCATGTACTATATTTCCGCTCCATGCTGGCTGTCTCTGACCTGGGCCTTTCCCTCTCATCCCTCCCTACTATGCTGAGGATCTTTGTTTTCAATGCTACAGGAATTTCTCCAAATGCCTGTTCTGCTCCAGAATTCTTTATCCATGGATTCACAGATATGGAGTCTTCAGTGCTCCTGGTCATGTCTTTTGACCGTTTTTTGGCCATACACAACCCTCTGAGATATAGCTCTATCCTCTCCCAATGCCAGAGTTGCCAAAATGGGCCTGGTGTTTCTCATTAAAAGCATGCTTTTAGTGCTCCTACTTCCTTTCACTCTCAAAAAATTGACATATTGTAGGAAAAGCCTTCTTTCTCACTCTTATTGTCTGCACCAGGATGTCATGAAGCTGGCCTGCTCTGACAACATGGTCAACTTTTTCTATGGTTTCTTCATTGCCCTCTGTATGATGTCAAACAGTGTGTTCATTGCTGTGTCCTACATATTCATCCTGAAGACTGTGATGGGCATTGGATCCCATAAGGAGCGGCTCAAGGCCCTCAACACCTGTGTCTCCCACATCTGTGCTGTGCTCATCTTCTATGTGCCCATCATTGTCTTTGGCCTCCATGCACCGTTTTGGCAAGCACAAGTCCCCAGTGGTCATGATCCTCATTGCTGACATTTTCTTGCTAGTACCACCTCTGATGAACTCCATTGTATACTGTGTGAAGACACGGCAAATTCATGAGAAGGTTTGGGGAATATTACATCTAAAATGAAGGTATGGGAAAAAGTAAGGCAAGGTCAGCCAAGATCAGAGAATAAAATAATATATTTCAGATAGCCACTGATAGTTAACAACAAGATAAAAACAACTATGGATATTTTTTCTTATTATGGATATTTATTATGCAAAGTATTACGGATATTTATTCTTATCTTCCTTAACCATTCTTATAATCACTACAACATATGAGCTGGGCACTGAGGTCTGTGAGCCTAGGACTGACATGGGCATTGACAGGTAAGTATGGAATAGTTTTGCAATACTATTTTTTAAAGATTTTTATTTATTTATTTATTTGACACAGAGAGAGAGAGAAGTTTTGCAATACTATTAAAATCATGAATCAATATACTGATTTGGAATTTTAGTTACACTATTTATTACAGCACAAGGATAAATACACATGGGAGTAAAGCTTGTGCCCCCTTATAGAAAATGAATACTAAAGGAACTGGAAGTTAAAGGATGTTACCCCAATCCAATTATGGATTTCTTTCAGGCAGACTTCAGACATGTATCTGTTGAGGGGTCTTCAGTCTATTTAATGCAATCCTTGATTTTCCATTTAAGGAAAGAAGTGTATTGTCAAATGCAAATTGGTTAAAAATTTCCTCTTTGCTCTTTCCTTAGTAATCAAATAGAGACAATCAGTGATTCTCTTTTATGTTAGAGCTTTCATAGCCTTGAATTATGACAATAAGCTCTCTCATAACATTCTTTAAGACAGACCAGATTTTTTCTCCATATTACAACAGGGTTCCAAGAAATTATATTTACTAAAAGGAGAAGAGAGGAACAATTCTACTATTGGTAGAAGACAAGAAAGCTAGTAGTTCAGTAATTTTTAAAACACTGATATTCTTGGGGCACCTGGGTGGCTCAGTCATTAAGCGTCTGTCTTCAGCTCAGGTCATGATCCCAGGGTCCTGGGATCGAGCCCCGCATCGGGCTCCCTGCTCTGCGGGAAGTCTGCTTCTCCCTCTCCCACTCCCCCTGCTTGTGTTCCCTCTCTCACTGTGTCTCTCTCTGTCAAATAAATAAAATCTTTAAAAAAAATAAAAAAATAAAACACTGATATTCTTTACTACTTTAAAATAATGGATCTCATGCTTGTTTAAGCACTTGGTATTTTGAACTATGATATATTCAATAACACTAAACAAGCTAGCAGAAAATATGACCATATATTAAGCAATATAAAATGATATTCATACATATATGGTTCCATTTTTAAAAAATAGTCAACTAAATTAGATTGGCTATCTCAATATGCTCTATAAAATTGATTTGTTTCCTGTTCATCTTTTATTTGTGAGTACTTCATAGCAGACAGAGGTATAAAACATAAAATTTAGAATAAGTCAACCAAAACCCTTAAAAAGTTTGTACTGTGAATTGGGAAAAAAACTATTGGTAACCAATTTCAATGTTTTATTGCCTCAGTTGAACTCACATATAGTATTATTTGTTCCAAAGAACCATTTTTGAAGAAGTTGTTCTCTGATGAATAAACATTCATATACATTTTATGTCCCCGGTGAGTTTAACTGAGTTCTTATTGTTCAATAGCTGACCTTGTCTAGATGCCCATAGTTTAGTCAAGACAAACTTTTGGGCTTCCTCCCATGTTGTTTCCAATTATGTTCTTAGTTCACCTGTCTGTTTTTCTTACTTATATTTTGTTTCCTTAAAGAAACTGTATACATCAAATTTGTTGGCATATCTCCAGACCTGTACACTGTATATAAATGACATGTGGATAGTAGTCTGACACATCTCCCAACCTGTTTAGAAAAAAAGACAAAACAGGCGCACATACAAAAAAAACCTTTGACAATTCAGGATATGATAATAAATTACAAGCATACAGAACATCTAAAATGATTAAAAAAAAAAACTACTGCCAAAATTAGTAAGGAATAACTATAAATTTTAAGTCAAAGAAGCTGCCCTGATAAATGGTTCATGTCCTGTGTAGCCACAAGGAAAAGCAAACAGGTTGTCATGAGAGAAACAAGGCAGAATATTTATCTTCCATTCTTTAGTATTTGCCCTCAACTCAGAAATTCAGATCTTTACAAGAAGAAACTGCTCAAGTCATAAGGTGTCAATAAATGTTTTTCTGGATCATAAGAGTGAATAGGCTACAATCTGTTTTCCTCAATTATAATAGAGGTTTAATGCATTTCCAATCAAGCTTCCAGTAATATTTCACTGAGAATGTACCAAAATAATTTTAAAACAGATTTTCAACTGTCAACTGGGAATATAAGAAAAAAATAAATAGCAATTGTAAAATAGTTTCATAAGATAGAGAAATTTATTAAACAGCTATAAAATTGTGTGTAGTTTGCTCAACAAATCAATGGGAAGAACAAAGAAGAATAAACACACTGCAATATACTCTAAATGATATGAAAATAATATATAATTAAAGAATATCAGAACCTCATTGAAAACAGGTTATTCAAATAATAGTGGTAGAAAAAATTACAACCTACTTTAGAAACCATATTTGTGTGTGATCTTTTATTACACACAAAAATAAACTAAAATAAATTAGGAATTAAGTACAAAGATAAGTTTTTATTTAAATTCCAGTTAATTAACATACAGTATAATCCAACGTTCACCAGGTACCAGACATTGGGCTATATACTTACTTGTATAAACTCAATTAACTTTTGCAAGAATGTGGGAAGGCAGATTTTATTACTTCCTCCTGTTTCATGGATTAAGAAGCTAAAGCTCTGAGAAGTTCAACAATTTTTCCAAAAACAAAGAACTATAAAGTGTTAGGAGCTTTATAAATCCAGGTAGTACATTTCCAGAGCCTACAACCTCATGCACTACACCAGACCAACTATTATTTTGCTTCTTTCTAAATTTAATAATTCATATTCTAGGAATCTAAGAACATAATCAGAGGTGTGATCAAATATTTATTTATAATGTATATCAAGGATTATTTTCTATGATAAAAATACGTAAACTACTGAAATATTAAGTAATAAATAACATAAACCATGATATACAAATAATAACAAATATTATTCACCTATGAAACAGCATCAACAACTAAGTGGCATTTGCTAAGCATTGTATTAAATGTTAAGGATTAAATGAAACTTAAATTTAGACTTGCTATCAAGGAGCTTACAGTCTGGTGGTGGGGAGATCAAGTAAATAAATAATTAAATTCACTGAGGAAAGTGTGGTAAGTTAAGTACACATATAAGAAAGTAAATAAAAGACTGGTAACTGGCCTATTTTAGTGGAGAATCAAAGGAGAGAGCTTCCTAGTGGAAGTAAAGTCTAATATAAAAATCTGATATATTATTAACAGAAAATGATAAATAATATCAAGCAAATAAGTAAGATATACATTTTGAGTATACACTAGTATCCTAGTTCATAAATGCATGTGTGTGCAGGGGTACCTGGGTAGCTCAGTCATTTGAGCATTCAACTCTTGATTTCTGCTCAGGTCGTGATCTCAGGGTCCTGGGATCAAGCCCTGAGTTGGACTCCATGCTCAGTGGGGAGTCTGCTTGAGGATTCCCTCTCCTCCTCCATCTGCCCCTGCCCCCTGCATATATGCTCTCTCTCTCAAATAAATAAATAAATCTTTAAAAAAAAGTATGTGTGCACACATATGTTGGCTACTAAAAAAAGATTCACTTATATATCATAAAATCTCTCATTAGTAGATTGTGAATGATTTTTGTTATCTTTTTAATCACAAAATTTTAATTATATATATTATATATAGGTGTGTATAAGTATACATTTATAATCAGACATTTATAATCAGACATGACATAATCCGAACAACCTCCAAATATATTAAATACATTCCTTGAAATAACAACAAAACAAATTCATGTCCTATTAACAATTGCTGGGGGGGTGGCGCCTGGGTGGCTCAGTTGGTTAAGCGACTGCCTTCAGCTCAGGTCATGATCCTGGAGTCCCGGGATCGAGTCCCGCATCGGGCTCCCTGCTCCGTGCAGAGCCTGCTTCTCCCTCTCCTTCTACTGCTCCTCCTGCTTGTGCTCTCTTGCTGTCTGTCAAATAAATAAATAAAATCTTTAAAAAAAAAAAATTACTAGGGGGATGAAGAAGACTGATAAAAGTGTTTTTGGTATTGAGCAGGTGAGTTGCCTTTTGAGCTAGATATGAAAAGCACATTTGGAATAAAAAAAGATGAACACAAATGCAGCAGACTGCCTTAAATATTGACCATCATAAAACTGGAAGAATGCTTGCACATTTCTACAACTGTTCAACTAAAACTCTTGGAATTCAGAATTTTCTATACTCTAAAAAGGCCCTACAACCCTGAGGCATTACACTAGCTTGAGCTGAACAGAAGGCCGGGGCAAACACACCAGAGTTTGGAAATGGTATCCCCTGTCTGCCAGGAGTAGGAAGTTGATATAGGGAGAGGAGACAGGTGGCTCAGATCAGAATATCTGCTTGTTCTCCTGTGCTCAGACATGAATTATCCTGAGTGGAACAAAGCTTCATAACTCTATGTGAAAGAAAACAGGAAAATTCCAACATCCTATCAACTCGATAGTGAGGTTACTTCTTGACAAAACAAATATTGTTAAGAAAGATACTCCAAAGATTTCCTACTAAGAAGCATCAAAGTCACTGTGCAATTCTACAATGACAAGCACACCAAAAGGTCGAGAAGCCCAACAGATAGGTAAAAAATTAACTACCCAAGAAACAAGGGCAAATAGAAAAAAAGGTGCTGTCCTGAGGCAGAGCTGACACGGAAGAGGTGTTACAGAATCAGAATCAAGAACTGTATTTAGATTATCTAGGCAATGGGAAAAATAACGAAAGGCAATATGTGACTTTAGATATTGGACTCACTGGAGGTATAACAAGTAGCAATTAGTTCTGTGACAGTTTCACTTTGCTAAGGAGAGAAAAGATTCAAGAAAAGATAGAGGTTCGGGGAGTGCATCTGTAAGGAGATGGGGCTCCCTGGAGGTGACTTTAGGAACTGAAACCAGTGTGCAAAAATTTCCTAGTTAAATTACACAGTGCAATGTGCATGTCTTTGCACACACATAACTCTTTCATTTACCAGCTCAAGGAAAAATCTGTGATGCCCCCTGGGAAATGTGACCGCAGAAATAAATGATTTTTGGTCATCTGAGTGCAGACAGAAAATTATAGTCATTTATTTTTGGCCTAAGAATTATCATTTTTAAGCAGATAATTAAATTGTTCAACCAGAATAAAATGATCTTATTTTGTTTTTAATGTGCATTTATTTTTGGTCAAAGAGTTACCATTTTTAAGCAGATAATTAAATTATTCAACTAGAATAAAGTGATCTTATCATGCTTTTAATGTGCACAGGAGTTCCATGTAATTGTTTTAAATGTTTGAGGGGCAAACACAATTAATTTGGTTTTGAACTATAGTGTTGTTTTGTTTTGTTTAACTCTTCAGTAAGTTTAGGGGAAATGTATTCTCCTCTTTCTGCTCCAGTGACTTAATTGAAACTGCCTTGGTAACCAAAATGCCTGAGGATGGCACAAACCCAAATCCCTTCCCTACTTAAATGTAACTTACCTCCCCTTCAATCCCACCGTCCTCTAAGATGCCTCACACTGGGGCCCCGTGAGCCCTTAAACTGGAGCAGCTGGAGCATAGCCTGGCGGATCGCCTTGGTCTTCAAGCTATAAATGATAGGGTTCAGTACAGGTGGTAAAATCAAGTAAACATTGGCCAGAATGCTACAGACCACTCTTGGGGTGGAGCTGAGAAGGCGGTGTGTAAAGGACAGGCTGATCATGGGCACATAGAAAACAGTGACAGCACAGATGTGACAGACACAAGTGCTGAGAGCTTTTTGTTGCTTCTTAGGGGCCACGATTCTCAAGACGGTTCGGAGAATCAGAACGTAGGAGAAAAGAATGAACAGCAAGTCAGTGCCAGTCAGGTAGAGCTGAAGAAACATGCCCCAAAAATTGTTGATCCAGGGGCTGGGATATGTGTATTTGATCATATCTGGGTGGTAGCAAAATGGGTGGGAAAGCTCTTTGTCTGAATGGAAAGATACACTCTTCAAGACTAGAACCATGGGAAAGGTGAAAATAACTTGCCGCAGGCAGATGACCAGTCCAATCACCAGGATTATCATGTCTGTGAAGACAGTGGCATACTTCAGTGGGTTACAGATAGCCATAAAGCGGTCAAAGGCCATGGCTACGAGCACTGAGGACTCCAGGAAGGAGAAGCCATGCACAAAGAACATTTGAATGAGGCAAGCTTTCAAGCTAATCTCCCGGGCATGAAACCAGAGAACCCCAAGCACAGTGGGAAGGGTTGAGATGGTCAGACATAGATCAACAGTTGACAGCATGGAGAGGAAATAGTACATAGGCTTGTGGAGACTCCTCTCAATGACGATGACAAACAAAATCATGCTGTTTCCCAAGAGGGCAATGATGTAGAGACAGCAGACAGGGATGGAGATCCAAACGTGAGCAAGTTCCAGCCCAGGAAATGCAGTGAGTAGGAAGTTTGGGGAAGATGATGTGGTGTTATTAAAAATTACCATGGTGAATTGAGAACACACCCTGAAAAGAGAGACAACAAGGATAATGTTTGTCATAGTGATCCTTTTTTCAAGTTCTAACTCATTTATAAACTCTTCCCAAATTACACAGTTGTTTCTCTATATTCAAAGCCCCCAGTCCAGTTATGGTACCTATCACATAATTCCACAGTATTGAATTTTTCTTATCAAAACTTGGCCCCATTTTTCTTCCTCTACCCTCTCCCAACTATAACCATCAATCTCTTTAGGCTCATCCCCACCCTACTGCCCAGACTAGTCCTGAGGCTTGAAGTAGGAAATGCCTATAGGCTTATATCATACACATGCACACACACCAACAAAACAACAACAACCACAATTACAATTGATGGGTCTTTGCATTAAATCTCCAAGCTGTATAAATTGCTTAGGAAACAATGGACAAGCACACGAGAGCCACTGGGCACATGTGATAGCATACTCCATAATGTCCTTGCTGGAAGCTGGTCTGGGATACTGTATCCAGAAGTATCCTTGTACTTCTATCATCAGCCACACCCTCCTAGTATACTCTATTAGAAGTCTCCTTTTGGTATCAGGGTTTCTTTGTTCCTTTTCCTATAGTGGAATAGTCCCTATAATTTCTCCCTTCCCCACTCCACATGTGTATGGGACTTGATTTTATCTTGTGTTTTAATTCTGTTTCCCCATGTACTTTTCCAGGTATACTGAAAATAACTAGGTCTAGATCTCCTTTTCTTCATCTTACATCTTGGGATACTTGTTTCTATCCTTTCCATGGATAGTTAAAATTAGCATGTGACTTTGGACCAAGTCACTGTGAGCAGACTGCTCTAACGAATTCTGTGAAAAATCCTAAACAGTATTCTGGAATACATTTCAGGCATCCTAAGCTAGGCAAAGTAGGTAAGCCTAGACAAAACTCCAGTATGAAATTCATGGGAAGCACTCAGCAACATGTGATGAGTGACTTTGTAAAAAGCATGGGTGGGATGGAAGTAGGGACTAATAACTAAAAGGGAATCACTGCAGGACATGGAAGGCTGAGGTGACATCACAAGTTGGAATATCAAGTAGCTCACTGAGTGAGAAAGTACATAGAAGGGCAGCTGCACAGAAAAGAGAGATGGTGTTATAAAGGAGGCAGAATCTGGAATCCATATTTAGGATGACCATTGCAATTCTATTTAGGACTTGTTCACTGAATGCTGGTACCATCATTGCTGATTTTAAAATTTGTACGTAGGGGGGCGCCTGGGTGGCTCAGTTGGTTAAGCGACTGCCTTCGGCTCAGGTCATGATCCTGGAGTCCCAGGATCGAGTCCCGCATCGGGCTCCCTGCTCGGCGGGGAGTCTGCTTCTCCCTCTCCCACTCCCCCTGCTGTGTTCCCTCTCTCACTGTGTCTCTCTCTGTCAAATAAATAAATAAAATCTTTAAAAAAAAAATTGTACGTAGGGCATTGAATCATCAATGAAGAGCTAGCAAGGAATGATATACTCAGCCCATGTGTTGTGTGGATATGGCCAGCCATAAGTATTCTTATTTTTCAGTATGTAGGTTTGCTGTCTTGTGTCTGAGTGGATGCAAGTAATTTGCTAGTACCAGGCCCTGTCAGTTGCTATATAAACATAAACATAAATATAAGGGATTGTTGGTTATTTTTTCCCCCTCCTCCAGTCTACTGAAGATGGTGATAGAAAGGACTTGTTACTCCAGAGGGGAAAAGAAAAGACTAATTGCTTTTTCTGCCATAATATTTAATATTATTATATTATACATGGTTGAAAAAAACACACTAAGAATCAGGAAAACTAATGCCAAATGAGATATGGATTACAAACATGCTGACTTATGTCAGCCATTTAGACTCTAAATGATTATTTTAATGTCAGTTACTGCTGATGGCCAGGGAAACAGAAATGAATAAAGAACAGTTTCTGCATTCAAAACTCCCTCAACTCGGTGGAATGAATAGTGTCAGAAGCCAAGGCAAAATATTAATGAAGGGCTATTACCACATGGGGACACATGGGAAGACTAGCAAGACAGGAAAACAGAAGGCTGTTGAGATTTCTGTTTCATTCTTCTTCTTCTCAACCTGATGAACACAGATATTAAGAGTGAATCTCTAACCAGCAATTACTATGTCATTACTGGTGAACTCATATGAGGGAACTTCAAGATTGAGAGGTACAGACCCCTTCCTGATCCTGCCAGAAGTGTCGTAAGTGTGACCCATGGCAGGGGTGGTTAGAGACCTGGACTCAAGTCCTAGGCTCCTTTCAGTCTTCACATCACCTCAGAAGACTTATAAGCATGCCTTCTGTCCTTAAGTTGGTTGATTTGAAATATTTAAGAATTGCTAATAATGTTTTTGCAAACATTAATGTGAAGTAAATTGAATTTAATGTTGAATGCTTTCAATCATTCACCTAATAGAGCCACTGTTAAACATTTAAAAAAAAAAAAAGAGTGAATCTCCTCTGTGAAAACCTTCCAAGAATCTCTCTGCAACACCAAATCACTCAATCTATTGACTCTCCTTCAATAGTACTTTATGTATTTTTTTTTAAAGCACTAAAATTCTATTGCTTGATCACATTTCTTTCTCCCTCTAGAATGCTGGCTCTCTGGGAATATAAAACATATGTGTTCATCTTTGTATTTTCTCTAGAGACAAGCTTAGTGATTGGTACATGATAAAAACTCAAATAATCTAATTTACATTAGATGTATTGGTGGGTAGATAAATAAATGACAGATGATAGAGCTATGGATAAAGACTAGATGAGAGAAATATATATTGAGCCTGGAAATTTTGAGGGAAGGATGAGCCTAGCCACTAGGGAAACTAAGGAGAGTAATATCCTCTCACTGATTGGAAGAAGGAGGGTAGGTTAAGAGAAAAGGAGATGAATTAAGAACCTCTGTATATGTCAACATTTACTAGCCATCTTATATATAATTTTATATAATCCCAGGAAAAATGGATATAGATGTTTTTATCCTATTTTAAAGAAAGGGAAGTGGCCTAGCAAGATAAAACAGTATAGCAAAGGTAAAATAGATACAGATTCAAAATTCAAAACCAGATTTACTAACTCTAAGGTCCATTATTTTTCATTAAACCATAAACTATTCAGAGAAGCTAAGCTTATGAGAAAAGTTGAGTAGTTGGACAGTGTGATTTCTTTCTTTTAAAATATAAGAATTATTTATACTCTGTTGTATATATATGTATATAATCATATATATGTATATATGATTTAGAGGAGCAATAGAGATGAGAAATCAGTAAAAGAGAAAACAATGTCCTCATGGCTTATTTAAAGAAGAATATTTGGGACATCCATGTGTGTTTAGAAATATGTGTGAATGTTTCTATGTTTATATTGTGTGTATCTCTCTGTGCTGTTATATGTAGAGAGGAGTTTTGGAATGGAAGAGTAATTGAGAGATAAGGTGATCATAAAGCAGATTCCAGTTATCTTCTGTTCTTTGAATTGTATCACATAAAGGACCAAAAGATGACACTGGATGATGTGAGGGGGTAGAAGGAGAGGAGACAATGGCTCATTTTGCTGCTGGAGAACATGTTTCCTATGGAATGTAGATATGTGGACAGGAGAAGGAGCAGAGGGCTTCCTCTCTGGTCCAGTGAACTCATATACTCTGGAACCAGTTGTAGGATAAAGTTCAGTGCCTCAGTTCATCAAGGTTTTCTCTGCACTGCCCACTAACCAGAAAAACAGGCTAGTGCTTTCTATTTTCAATTCTCCATCTGAATAGCCAGAAAGTAATGTCTACCAATTCATATACAAAAGCCTAGATTATATGACTTGGATAAGATCCACCCAACTCAATAATTTAGTGATCTACAGGTCAACATCCCTGCTTTCCAGCATCAATAACAGTAAAAAGCAATCCATGTTATCTACCAATCCCAAACCTTCTGGTCATTTCTCAACACTGAAATCTATTCTCTTCACAATCTGGAACCTGCCCTGACAGCTCCAGGATATGTTCACCAGAAGCCTTTGCTTCTCTGCACCACTTCATACTTGGACCTTTCATTTGACTCTTAATATTGAGGCATGGCTGATATTAGTAATTTATATAAGTAGATGTAATCCTCTTTATCTGCCTGGAAGATGAGTTCCTCAAAAGTTTGGGCATTCTTGTGTTTCTAATGCTAGCTACTAAAGTAGGATCTGGAATAATAGACAGCTTCAATTAGTAAGGTTTACTGACAGCTGAATGATCTTGTCCATAAGAGAGTTCTGGTGATGGGTATTAAAGAGGGCATGTACTGAATGGAGCACTGGGTGTTATACGCAAACAATGAATCATGGAACACTACATCAAAAACTAATGATGTAATGTATGGTGATTAACATAACATAATAAAATATATATATATATACTGAAAAAAAAAAGAGTTCTGAGTCTCATCTTTTCTCTTTATCCTTCTGTTTCCTCCTGTCCTCTGTCTCCCTATCTCAGTTTTATCCAGGCTCCATCATATCCCTCCATTTCTTCACTCCAGCTGACATGTAGCCCCCATCATTCATTGCTCTTCTCCCTTCCCTCTTTCTCCTAGCATTTCTCACCCCTTCATCCCTTTGCCTTCTATCCCTTTCCATTTATACACTCTTCTTACCTGTTCACATCAGCAGGAAACACCACCAACTTCTCTTCAGACCCATCACCAAGCAAGGACTAAACCAGCTCCCAAGAATGGAGGCTTTATAGGAAAATTAGTAGAGTCACCAAGCAACAAAGAGCTATCTTTATTAGTGAGTGTACTGGGTGGAGCAAGAATTATGGGACCCATAAGAATATGTTCCTCTATAACAGCTCAGACACATCTCCCTGACAGCTTCAAACCCTGCTCCCAGGCCCAAGCAAACTCCATACATCAGGAGCTGTAAGCATAGTCCTGGCCCTGGGGGCTGACAGTAATGGGTACCTTCTAAAACTGTCTGCTTTGGTCCGATAACTACAACCATTCCTCTTCACCCTGCCTTAGGCTACAGAGTCTCAGCCAGGGAGGCTCCCTGAATGTCAGAGCAGGATCAGGAGAGTACAGATAAGTCCTCCCTCTGTTCTCTGCTCCAGTATGTACTATTCTTAACAGGTCTCATTGTGCCCTGGCCATTCCCATGTCTCTCCTCTTACCCAGAAGCCCCTCCTAAGAAGCCAACCTATTCACTGAGTCACATTTGCAGCCCACCTACCCTTCTAAGCATAATTAAACTAGCACTTGATGAAGTCATGATACATGCTAAAAATTGCACTACACCCTTTAAATGCATTGTTGTATTTATTCATTATCAAGTTTACAGGTTAAGTATTATTCTCCATTGTTTCACAGATGAGGAAACTTAAACTCAGAGAGGTTTAGAATAACTTTACCCATTTAAAAGTTAGCAAGTTACAGAGTTGGCATTCAAGTCCATGTCTTACTTACTCTAAAGCTCTTACTCTATGTTATACTGCCTCCTATAGTCAACTGCTTCCACTATAGCTTCAGAAAATATGGTTGTAATATATGTTCCTCTATCCATCCATTCTACAGATTGCTTGCTTCCCAACTGTATGCCCACATCCGGTTTAAGCCTTATTCTGACCAGAATCCACCTCTCCATAGTAGGCCGTGAATTAATAATTCTGACCATGTATAATAATCTCTGACTTTCCAATCCTCCTTGAACATTTTCTGGTCCATACTCTTATATGTTTATTGGGCACACTGAGCGAAGATATCTATCCCAACAAGTATCTGGAGAGATTAATTAACTCCATAAAATTACACAGTAAGTAATGTTCATATCTATATGTAAATACCACCCCTTTCCACTGGTTCCCACCAGCAAAAATGAATGACTCTGGAAATTTCAAATGAAACTTACTAATATTAAATGAAACAAAGAAGTTTGGAAGCATGAAATCAATCTTGATAAAGTACAGTTTTCACTCATTTGTTAATTCAAAAAAATTATATATTGAGTGTCCATCATATGTTCTGAACTACATTAAGTACTTGGGAAAGACTGAAATAAAGTTAAAAGGGTACCTGTTCTTATAAAGTATATAGACTAGCAGGGAAGATATACTATTAGTAAGTTATGGTGCAGTATGAGAAACTGTAACATAAGTAAAGAAAGGCATGTCAGAAAAGCTTTCTGGACAAAAATGAAGTCTAAATTAAAATCTAACGTATATGTAGGAGTTCCTATTCTTCCAGCACATTGACTGCACCATGCTCTCATACTTTACCTGCCATTTTCTTTTTAATATTTTTCTCTCTTGCTTCCAGCCTATTGTACATACACACTTTATTTTTATAAAAAATACTCAAAGAACCGGGCACCTGGGTGGCTCAGTCATTAAGCGTCTGCCTTCGGCTCAGGTCATGATCCCAGGGTTCTGGGATTGAGCCCTGCATTGGGCTCCCTGCTCAGCCAGGAGCCTGCTTCTCCCTCCGCACTCCCCCTGCTTGGGTTCTCTCTCTCGCTGTCTCTCTCTCTGCCAAATAAATAAATAAAAATCTTTAAAAAATACTCAAAGAACATATAAACACAAAAGGCAAAAGAACAGGAATGTCTGAATTCCAGAGTGACTATAATGGAGCAAAAACAACCCAGATTGACTATAATGGAGCAAAAACAATCTGGGGATTTTTCTTGAAAAAATTGTTAATGACATACAATGGAATAGTGTTCAGCAATAAAAAAGAATAAACTACCACTACACACCACAACATGAATGAATCTCACATGTATTATGCTAAGAAGCCAGACATGGGAGACTACATACTACAGGGTCCATGACACTCAAAAAAGAGAAATTATAGGCGTGGAAAACAAATGAGAGCTTGCCAGGGATTGGGTATGGATGCAAAGGGGTAACATGAGGGAATTTTGAACAGTGATGTATTTATTCTATATCTTGGTGTCACTGGTGGTTACAAGATTCTATGTATTTGTCAAAAGTTGATTAGAACCATATACTAAAAAGAGTGAATTTTATTGTACATAAATGTTGATAAGCTGTGGGGTGCCTAACTGGCTCAGTTGCAAGACTATGTGACTCTTGATGTTGGGGTTGTGAGTTTAAGCCCCACAAGGGTGTAGAGATAACTTAAAGAAATAAAATTTTTTTAAAATGTTGATAAACTGTTACATACCATTTTAAGGATAATTCATATCTATCAAGCTACCTAAGATAAATTATTGCTTTCATCAAAACCATTATACAAAGGCATATTATAACCCATTAGATTTGTACTATTCAATACAGTAGCTTCTAGCTAATGTCACTACTTAAATTTATATTTCAATTAATTAAAATAAAATAAAATTTAAATATTCAGTTCCTTGGTTGTACTACCAAAGTTTAAAGTGTTCAATAGTTATGTGTGGCTAGTTTAATTAATGCATTAAACAACAGAGATTTAGAACACTTCCATCACTGCAGGAAATTCTATTGGACAGTGGTACATTTGATGCTCTTCCCTGACTTGATTGCATCTACACAGAACTCATAGATGCCATTAAGGGCCAATCCTGTCCCCACAGAACACTCGGACAATCTGCTGCCAGATCTGCTTGGTCCTAACACTGTACACAATAGGATTGAGCACAGGAGGAAGCAAAAGGTAGACATTGGCCATAAGAGTGTGTACTATTGGTGACAAATGTTTCCCAAAGCAGTGAATTAGAGTCGTGCCAATGAGAGGCACATAGAAGAACAATACTGCACAGATATGAGAGAAGCAGGTGTTGAGAGCCCTGAGTCTCTGTTCTTGGGAAGCAATACCCAGTACTGCCTGGAGGATTAGAAAGTAAGAAATCGAAAGGATCAAGGCATCCAGTACAATGATGAAGATCACAGCCAGCAGGCCATAGATGCAATTGCCACGGGTGTCAGCGCAGGCAAGCCTTATGACATCCTGGTGGAGGCAGTATGCATGGGAAAGGATATTGGAGTGGCACAAAGGTAGCCTTTTGATGAGGAAAGGCACAGGGAACACTGCACCCACACTTCATAGCAGGACTATTGCTCCAATCTTGCTGATGACTCTATGACTGAGAAAGGTAGTATAAGTGCAAAGGGAAGTGAATAGCCACAAAGCAATCAAAGGCCATGACAACCAGAACACCTGATTCTACTGCCCCAAAGGTATGGATAAAGAACATCTGAGTGATGCAGGCATCAAGGGTTATTGAGCGCCAGTTGAACCAGTGAACACTAATCATGGTGGGCATGGGAGATAGTGAAAGGCTGAGGTCAGTGGCAGCTAGCATAGCCAAAAATAATACATAGGCTCATGGAGACTTTGCTCAATCTTGATGACAACAAGGATGATGACGTTGCCTAAGAATGTGGTACTGTAAAGAAGGCAAAGGGGCAAGGTCATCCAGAAGTCTTTCTCTGGCATTCCCGGAATCCCAGTCATGGTAAAGTTCTGGTGGTTATCAGCAGTTTGGTTGAATGGTTACATAGTGGAATGAAGGTCTGACTGGGCAAAAAGAGAATTCATCAAGTCAAACAGCTTCAGTTAGAATCAGTGGCTATAAGTATTGAGATAGTAGCCATAAGGAGTGACTTCAATAATATTCTAATACATTTATGTCCACAATCTGATAGAGAAACTGATTGTCCTACCCCATGAGGCAATAAATCAATGACCATTATATGCTAAAATATACTTAGGAGAAAGAAAAAAGAAAAAACTTCAATCAACATCTGCATCCAATAGGGATATAATTCATCCAGAAACATCAAGGAGTTACCTGACTTATTTCCTTGCTAAGAAAGAATTTTATATTGGACATTTATGTGGGTAATGACACTGATGCCAATAACCAGAAAGGAAATGTTAGCAAGCACAAATGAGACATAAGGGTTGTTCATAAACACAGATATGCAGATGTGTGTATGTGTCTTTATCTTGACTGTGATCTTAAATTGTGGTGATTTAGACATTATGCTCATTGGGACTCAATTTTCCACCTGCATGATGTGGGACAGAGGAAGAAATACACTCTTTAAGGTCTGTAAAGCTCTAACCTTCTGCATTCCTGGGAGTGTGTGGGTACTAAAAGGACCTGAGCTTGCAGCAGGTGATGGAGGGAGAAGTTACTCTGGCTGCCAAAAAACTTTAGAAGGACCCATTATGGTAAGCAGAATAAAGGTCTCCAAGGATGTTCAAATCCTAATTCTTGAAACCTATGAATATGTTAGCTTACACGGCAAAAGAGATTTTGCAGATGTGATTAAAGCTAAGGATCTCAAGATGAGATTATCCTGGATTACCAAGGTAGGCCAAATCTAATCATATGAGTCCTTAAAATTGAAGAAATTTTCCCAGCTGCAGAGAACCAGAGAGATAGCAGCATGAGAAAGACAGCACGACTGGTGAAGGTGAAGGAAGGGGACAGAAAGCCAAGAAATATGGGTAGCCTCTAGAAGCTGGAAAAGGCAGTGGAACAGAATTTTCCCTCGAGTCTTCAGAAAGGGATGCAGACTTGCTGACGCCTTGATTTCAGCCCAGTAAGGGTCTTGTTGGACTTCTGACTTTAAGAACTGTAAGAAAATAATTATATGTGTATTATAAGCCACTATGTTTGTGGTAATTTGTTATGGAAAAAGTAGAAAACCTTACCCAGAGGGGCCAGAGTAGAGTTGCTTTAGCTCCTTTTCAGAAATATTCCAACTCTTCTCCTTCAGTCTTATACTCAGGCCCTGTCTTCTTCTTCGGTAAGAAATGAAATGAATGAAATGAAATTAATTCCACACATAGAGGATTCCAAAAGACAAGGTCCAAACATTTTTCAGATTGGTGAAGTCAATATCCCTGATGTTAAAAATTCAACTGGACTTAAGTTTCCCTGTCCCTCCATAGAGACTTCCCCTTCTCCGCATTCCATACTTCTGTGAGGCTGTTCTAGTAAACTCCACCTTGAGTCACCAGTATCTGTATTTCCTACTCTGAGTAAAACCTAGATAAACCTGTGAGCCATTCTAGACATTAATGCCTAACACTTGCAGTGACAAAGATCAATATTAAAATCTTGGTGCCATACAGCCCTCTTCTATTTCAATTATTTGCTGTTATCTTCAGGAAGATATATCCAAACGTGCACCTGAGCTAATCACTTGTTGGGCCAGTCTAGCCACAGTTGATAAGGGTTCAGGATTAAATGAAAGAATAGGACTATCATGTCTCTTATTGTTTGAGTTATGATGCTAATGAGAATCTGATGGAGAGTCTCCCAAATAAGAATGTTACACACACACACACACACACACACACACAAATACAAGCAAAGTTCTGTATAAAAATTAAGTGAATTCATATATTATTTAAGAGCATCTCAGGACCCATGTTAGAGAAAATGGAACAGGAGCCTGGGTCACAACAAGGAGAAAAGTCACTAGACAAATTGCAAGGGGCAGAAATCTCTGGGTGCTTGGGCATGACTAGAAATCAGACAGAGTTACTCCAAGTTTCTTGTAAGTCAATAGTTTAGTTCTACACTGTCCAATATCATAGCCACTAGATATCTGTGCCTATTTACATTTAAGTTAAATTAAAACATCAGTATCTTAGTTTCACTAACCACGTTTCAGGTGTTCAATAACTTCATATGGCTAGTGACTATTGAACTGTGTGGTACAAACATAGAAAATTTCCATAATCCAGAAAGCTCTATTGAAATTTGAAAAATTGATCCTGCAGACTATAGATTTAAAGGATACCAACATTCTAGCTGACCTCTTGACAAATCTTAGATCCAGTTGGATTTGTGGGTCTTTTACCTATATACTGCATAACCTGTGTCTCTTTACATACTTTTCTCTGTCTTGTCTCTTTTCTGGAAAAATGAATAAGAAAATAGCTTTAAAACTAAAGACTCTGGAAATAGATCATCTGGGTTTAAATCCTGCATCTGTGACCTTGAACAAGTTACTTAATAATCTCTATGCTTTATTCCTTACCTCTTTAAAATTAAAATGAAAATAATAGTATTTACCATGGGATAGTTAAAAGTATTCACTGGAAATGTTGATAGGTCATTTAGGTGAGCACCAGACAAAGAATCAACACTCAATAAAGGGTAGCTATAATCAATGTTCATCTGTTATCTATAAATTTTGTAATGTTTGGTTAACTGTGAAAACTGTCTCTGAAGATATTTATAAGCCATGAAATCCATTAATATACTGCTAAGTTATCTACCTACCCATATATTAGTTATATATTTTGATCAAATTCTATATTACCTAAATCTCTCCATGCCTCAGCCAGTTTAGCCCAACACTGAAAATCTATGGCTTGTAGGTAGTGGCTGTTGCAGTGCCCAAGATGGGACATCTATGGATCTGTGCTCAGTGATTCTGCACTTAATTATGAAGGCTTACTGTAAAGGATTTATTGGAAGCAGGTCCTAGATAAACTAGAGATGAAAGAATGATATGCTAGTAGGAGTCATGAGTAGTGAATATCAGTAAGAGGAAGAAAAGAATAAGGATAATTGATTCTGAGGGACTAGAACCCCAAAAGCAACACCACACTGACCATCTGAGGAGCTCGATCCCAAAGACCAGCACAGTCCTTCCAGAATTCAAGAGAGGGATTACAAACTAGGCTCTTTTATTTATTTATTTTTTTAGAGAGAGCGCCGGGACAGTCAGAGGGAGAGAGAGAATCTTAAGAGGCTCCTTGCCCAGAGTGGAGCCCCACATGAGGCTTGATCTCACAACCCTGAGATCATGACCTGAGCCGAAATCAAGAATCAGATCCTTAGCCAAACGAACTACCCAGGCACCCCCAAACTAAGCTCTTGATTCCTTAAGATCTAAAGAACTCAGGAAGAGATTTTCATGTTTAATTAACTTACTGATTAATGGCTTCATATTTGTCAAATGCCTACTAAGTACTAGGCATGCCATAGTAATCAGAGGACCAAAGGAGCAACTTCTTTCCTTATCAAAGAAAACATGAAAAACAAGAGCAGAAACAGGAGTGGAATATGTACCTGGGGTTGAATGAAGACATGCTTTACAGAAGGGTCAATATGTCCAGCTTGTATCACCAGCTCTACTCAGCCTAACTCTGTTTCTGTCAATACCAGTGACAGACCATGGACAGAATCAAACCTAAACTTCCCTCACAGCAAAAGGGCAGGAGCTTCTGTGGTTTATGAAGCATATGTGGGGATGGAGGTGGAAGAGAAGATAGGCAACAAGAGTTTTTCTTTTCTATTGCTATGGAACTACAGTTCAATGCTCTTTTCCACCCAGGAAGCCAAGTGGAAGAGCTATTCTCTAAAGGACAGGACCGAGCATAATATACTCTAAGTAAATTATATATAAGTATATAAGTATTCAGCTGCAGGCCGAAGCACAGTTCTGGCCCTTTGGATTTGTCCTCTGTAGGAGCCATGGACTAGTCTTTCACTTGGGGAAGGAATATATTTGCTATTTGCCTTGAGCCAGGACTGAAGGAAGGGCAAAAATTTGCAGACTCTTGTTTCTCTCATTAGGCTTTGGTAGTAGAATATACTCACCACTGAATTCTTCATATGTACAGTTCAAATTGTTATTTCTATTTTAATGAAAAATGTAAAGGAAATGGAAAAATAATTCTTGCTGAAAAAATTCTTGCTGTAGCTGAGGATTCTAGGTTCTTTATAGATATATAAAAATCATGAGCAATCACTTTATATGATGATATAGGGAAATAATGCAAAAGATAATGGGCAGGCATTTTAAATTATTTCAGTCCTTTAATAATAAAAAAATCTAATATTTATTAAATGCTTATTTATGCTTCAGCCTCTGTTTTTACCTCTTTACATATACTACCTCTTTTAATGACTAAAAAAACCTTATGAGAAAAGAACTTTTGCCAATATGCATCAGTAAAATAAGAGTCGGAGAAGTTAATTAACTTGACTCAAATCCCAAAAATAAAATTTAAATCCAGCTGCTCTGAACATTATGCTATGAAGGTCTATTTAGTCCTATAGGAGATGATAAGCTTTAGGCCACAGAGACAACTTCTGCCATCAAATTCAAAGTCCAGACCAAACAGTACACTGGGCTTAACAGATCCTACCTCCTCCACTCCGACTAGTCTGTCCTGACCTCTAAAGATTTCTCCATGAATTGTCCATAACTACAGTCCCCTCCATTCTGTGAAAGCATCCTCAGAGAAAGCACTACCTGGGCCTCAGTTTGTTTCCCAACTCACCCAAAGTCTAGTCTAGGAGATGAGAGTCATTTCTGATGCTGGCCACCATAGCAGTATAGCCAGAGATTTAAAACCTGCAGGACCCTAATCCAGAATTCCCTCTGAAGTGATCCTCTAGAGACAAGGCATCAGTCTTCATGGAGAAGTCCCCAGGGCCAACAGCTATATAATCTCAGGCGTCTGGGCATTTTGGTCTTCTTTGTCTTGATCTCAGAGGACCTAGTTTTCCCTAATTCAAACCTGTGATGGTGACCAACCAGATATAGAATTCGTCTCAGTCCTGTGTGAATGGTACCTCACTAGCTATACCAAAATGCAAATATACTTTAGTGCCTAATCTTTACAATTCTCTCTAAAAGAGAGAGAAAGAGAAAGAGAGAGAGAGGAGGGGAGGAAGGAACGAAGGAAAGCAAGCAAGCAAGCAAGCAAGAAAAAATGTAAAAGAAAAGGCCATTCATGTTTCCTTCTAGTTACTACTTCTCATTCCTTCCTCAGCTTCATAGTAAAGCCTTTCAAAGTTGTGGTCTGTAGTCTCTGTTTCCATGTACTCCCCATTCTCTCCTCAATTCACTTCAGTGAGAGTTCTTTCCCACATCACTGAAAGCATCTTTGCAGGTGTCTCCAATGGCCTGCTTATTGTTAAACCCAGAGAACATTCCTCACCTTACTCTTCTTTTCAGCAGGATTCAAAACAGTGGAAAATTGCCTCCATGTTGAGTTACTTTCATTTCTGATCTTTTTGTGACACCATGTTTTCCTCCTGCTTTAATTTCCACTCTTCGATATCCTTTGATGGCTTATCTCCCTCCTACATCACTAAATGTTAGTGTGTCTCTTATTTGGTCTTTTTCCCTAAACTTTAATCCCACTCTCCCTGAGTGATATTATTAAATCCTATTGATTTAATATCTCCATATGTCGATTACCCCCAAAAGCATATCTTCAGGCCTGAATTCTGTCTTGATCTCCAGACCAATTACTACTTGATAATTCCATGTGGATATCAAATAGGAAACTTAAAATTAGCACAGTGAATACTGTAAAACAAAAACAAAACTTCTTCCTATTTGCTTATAGTTAATTTCAATAAATCACACTAACCATACCACAATCCACCCGGTTACTCAAACCAAAATTCCAGATCTTTTCTTACCCTCTCCCTTATATTTAATCCATTACCATGGCCTATTGAGTCCAAACCAAAATATATTTCACATACTTCAAATTCCCTTCATCTTCGCTCCTACCATGCCAGCAAGGTTACCATGACCTCTTGTAGAATAGAGCAATAGTCTCCTAATGACTTTTTTTTTAATTTGCTCTTTTATTTGTCTTATTTTGTTATGGTATAATTTACAAATCATAGAACTGATCCATTTTAAGTGTACAATTTGAAGAGTTTTAGTAAATTTATACAATTGTGAAACTATTACCCCAAAACAGTCTTAAAACTTCCATTACATAAAAAGATTCCTTGACGGTGGTTTGAGATCAGCCCTGGGCATGTCTCCAGCTCCAAGAAACCACAGATATGCTCTCTGTTTTCATAGTTTGCCTGTAATAGAAATTTCATATAAGAATCATAAAATATATTGTCTTTTGTCTCCCAGTTAACATAATGTTTTGAGTTTTATCCATGCTGCTAAATATATTCAGAGCTTGTTCTTTTTCCTTCCTGAGTAGTATGTCATTGTATGGGTAAAACATATTTATTTACTCATTTGGTAGTTGAAATACATTGGGGTTGTTTACCACTTTTGACTATTATGAATAATGTTGCTAGAAATATTAGCATATAATCTTTGTATGGACATGTTTGGGCAGATATCTAGAAAAGGAATTACTGGGTAGTATGATAGGTGTTTCTCTAATTTGGAAGAAAATGTCCAACTATTTGTGGCTGAACCATTTTATACTCACATCACCAATGTATAAAGATTCCAGTTTAATGTAACTATTGATTTGATTAGATTTACATCCGTCATGTTGATATTTGTTTTTTATATGTTTCAGTCTTTTTTGATTCTTCCTTTTCTCCTTGTCTTCTATCATGTTAAAGATTTTTATTGTACTGTTTTAAAGTTGACTGCTTTTTTTTTTTTCCAGAACTTTGAATATGCCATTCAACTGCTTTCCAGACTCTATTTTTTTTTCCTGATAAAAAGTCAGGAATTATTTCAAGCTTTTTAGTCTGTAACTTGATTAGTCATTTTCTTCTGCCATTATCATTCTTGGGCTTTTGGCAGTTTGATTATAATGTTTCTATGTGTTAATATCTTTGTATTTATTCTAATTAAGATTTCTTGAGCTTCTTGGACATGTGGACTTTTTTGTTGTTGTTAAATATATAAAGTTTTTAACATTGTATCTTCAAATATTGATTCTGTTACTTTGCTCTCTTCTTCTGGACCTACCAATATACATATGTTGGTATGTTGATGTTGCCCCCCAAATATCTGAGACTGTTCATTTTTCTTCAATATTTTTCTGTATATTATTTGAACTTGAGACTTCTCTATTTGTCTTCAAGTTCACAGATTCTTCCTTCCCCTTCCTCAAATCTGCTGAGTCCATGTATTGATTTTTTTTAAATTACAGTTTATTATATTTTTTAAATTCTTTTGTTTCTTTCCTATAATATCCTTTCCTCTATGGAGTTTCCTTATTCATTCAATCATTTACCATTGTATTTTCTTTAATTACTTGAACATAATTTTCTTTCATTCTTTGAATGCATTTATAATAGATTATTTGAATTATGTCTGCTAAAATCAACATGTGGGTCCTTTAGGAGTCAGATTCTACTGATTGCTGTTTTTCTTGATTATGGTCAAGTTTTCCTATTTCTTTGAAAGTCTCAGAGTTTTTTTTGAAAACTAAATGTCTTAAATATTATAGCATAGCCATACACAAAGATAAACTCAAAATGAATGAAAGACCTCAATGTGAGATAGGAATCCATCAAAATCCTAGAGGAGAACATAGGCAATAACCTCTTAGACATTGGCCACAGCAACTTCTTTTAAGGTACATCTCCAAAAGCTAGTGAACAAAAGCAAAAATGAACTTTTGGGACTTCATCAAGATAAAAAGCTTCTGCACAACAAAGGAAACCGTCAACGAAACAAGGAGGCAACCCATAGAATGGGAGAAGATATTTGCAAATGACACTACAGATAAAGGGCTGGTATCCAAGTTCTATAAAGAACTTCTCAAACTCAACACCCAAAAAACAATTAATCAAGTCAAAAAATGGGCAGAAGACATGGACAGACACTTCTCCAAAGAAGACACACAAATGGCTAACAGACACATGAAAAAAGGTTCATCATCATTAGCCATCAGGGAAATTCACATCAAAACCACACTGAGGGGGCGGAGCAAGATGGCAGAGGAGTAGGAGACCTGGATTTCGTCTCCTCTCAGGAATTTAGCTGGATAGGGATCAAACCATTCTGAACACCTACAAACTCAACAGGAGATCGAAGAAAAGAAGAGCAACAACTCTCTGAACAAAAAAGCGACCACTTTCTGGAAGGTAGGACGTGCGGAGAAGTGAATCCGAGGCGATATTCGGGAGGATAGACGGCGGGGGAGGGACCTCCGTCCACCGCTTCTGGCAAGTGATAAAGCAGCGGAGCACAAAATCAGAACTTTTAGAAGTCAGCTCCACTGAGGGACGTCACTCCGGTGGCTAAGCGGGGGGGTGGAACCCTCACAGGACAGTGTGGTCTCAGGACCCTTGGGGTCACAGAAAGACTGGGGGTGCCTGAGTGCAGCAGAGCTCCCGGGTATCAGAGCAGGGAAGCCGGCTGCAGAGACGGAGCCAAGGAGCGGGCTCTCAGCTCGGGGTTGCCATAAACCGTGATCCAAGGCACAGTCGGGTCACTGCTCCTCCAGCAGGGACCCAACAAGCGACAGATCCGGGGAGACTCACCTTCTTACCCCGGGAGGAGAGGTGCAGGAGTGCACCACAGGGATCTGCTGGGTTTGGAGACTCCACTCAGGGTCGGGTGCCAGAGATAGAAACGCGTGGTCACAGGCTGGGTGAGCACGGAGTGCAGCTGGAGACCGGGGAGACGGGAGTGACTGACTGCTTTTCTCTGGGGGCTCACTGAGGAGCAGGCCTCGAGTTCTCAGCTCCTCCGGGGCAGAGATTGGGAGGCCGCCATTTTCATTCTCGGCCCCCAAAGCTGTAAGAAAGGTTGCAGGGAACAAAAGCTCCCGAGAGCAACTCAAGCAGATTACTTAGCCCCGACTGGGCAAGGGCGGGGCAATTCCACCTCCAGCAAAGACATTTGGGAACCACGGCAACAGGCCCCTCCCCCAGAAGATCAGCGACAACAGCCAGCCAAGACCAAGTTTACCCATCAATGAGAACGGCAGAACTCCAGCGCTAGGGGAATACTGCACATAGAATCCATGGCTTTTTTACCATGATTCTTTAGTCTTTCAAAGTTAATTTTTTTTAACTGTCTTTTTTTTTTTTTGAATTTTTCTTTTCCCTTTTTCAACCAACATCTTATCAATCCCTTTTTTAAAAAACATTTTTATTTTTCAGTTTTAGAGTCATATTCTATCCCTTCATAGTACTTACCCGTATATTTGGCATATATATATAAGTTGTTCTCTCTTTAAAATTTTGAGATAGTTTCTTCTAACAGATCAAAATATACCCTAAATCTCTAGTGTATGTTTTTTTTCTACTCCCCTACCTGATCACATTCTCTCCCTTTTTTTTTCTTTTTTTTTAAATCCTCTTCTTTCTTTTTTCAAACAACTTCTTATCAATTCCTTTTATAAAATTTTTTATAATTTCCATCTTTACAGTCATATTCCATCTCTTCATCATATCAACCCTTATTTTTATACATATATAAGTTTTTCTTTCTTTAAAATTTTGGGAGGCACTTTCTTCTAACAGACCAAAATACACCCAAAATCTAGTGTGCGGCACTGATCTATATACCAGCCTGATCATATTGGATCACATTCTGTTTTTTCTGTTTTCTCTCTTTCCCTTTCTTTTCCCACTGCTTCAGGTCTTTTATGATTTGTTTAGAGCATATTTTCTGGGGACGTTGTTACCCTGTGTCCATTTTCTTCTCTCATTAATCTATTCTCCTCTGACAAAATGACAAGATGGAAAAAAATCACCTCAACAAAAAGAACAAGAGGTAGTACCGACTGCCAGGGACCTACTCAATACGGACATTAGTACGATGTCAAATCTAGAGTTCAGAATCATCACTTTAAAGATACTAGCTGGGCTTGAAAAAAGCATGGAAGTTATTAGAGAAACCCTTTCTGGAGAAGTAAAAGAACTAAAATCTAACCAAGTTAAATTCAAAAAGCCTATTAATGAGGTGCAATCAAATATGGGGGCACTAACTGCTAGGATAAATGAGGCAGAAGAGAGAATCAGTGATATAAAAGACCAAATGATGGAAAATAAAGAAGCTGAGAAAAAGAGAGATAAACAACTACTGGATCACGAGGGCAAAATTCGAGAGATAAGCGATACCATAAGAAGAAACAACATTAGAATAATTGGGATCCCAGAAGAAGAAGAAAGAGAGAGGGGCAGAAGGTATACTGGAGCAAATTATAGGAGAGAACTTCCCTAATTTGGGAAAGAAAACAGGCATCAAAATCCAGGAAGCACAGAGAACCCCTCTCAAAATCAATAAAAATAGGTCAACTCCCCGACATCTAATAGTAAAACTTATGAGTCTCAGAGACAAAGAGAAAATCCTGAAAGCAGCTCGGTAGAAGAGATCTGTAACCTACAAGGGTAGAAACATTAGATGGGCAACAGACCTATCCACAGAGACCTGGCAGGCCAGGAAGGACTGGCAGGATATCTTCAGAGCACTAAATGAGAAAAATATGCAGCCAAGAATACTATATCCAGCTAGGCTGTCATTGAAAATAGAAGGAGAGATAAAAAGCTTCCAGGACAAACAAAAACTAAAGGAATTTGCAAACACAAAACCAGCCCTACAAGAAATCTTGAAAGGGGTCCTCTAAGCAAAGAGAGAGCCTAAAAGTAACATAGGCCAGAAAGGAACACAGACAATAGACAGTAACAGTCCCCTTACAGGCAATACAATGGCACTAAATTCCTATCTTTCAATAGTTACCCTGAATGTAAATGGGCTAAATGCCCCAATCAAAAGACACAGGCTATCAGACTGGATTAAAAAACAAGACCCATTGATATGCTATCGCAAGAGACTCATTTTAGACCCAAAGACACCCCAGATTGAAAGTGAGGGGGTGGAAAACCATTTACCATGCTAATGGACACAAAAGAAAGCTGGGGTGGCAATCCTTATGGCAGACAAATTAGATTTTAAACGAAGACTGTAATAAGAGATGAGGAAGGACACTATGTCCTACTTAAAGGGTATATCCAACAAGAAGATCTAACAATTGTAAATATCTATGCCCCTAACATGGGAGCAGCCAAGTATATAAGCCAATTAATAACAAAAGCAAAGAAA